TGGCAGTGTTCAATTTTGGTATCCTACTGGAATTCACATGGGGAGAAAAAGGATCCCCTGTATTTCAGAAAGCAAATACAGAAAATAGTGTTGTGAGAATCTGAGCTGAGAAATTTGGTTTTTTGTTTGTTATGACCATTTTATGAGGATACAAACATGCAACATGTATCAAGCATGCTCCAACCTTTATTCTCATTAGAAATACATAACACTCCGTCATTAAGTGCTTAACAGTAGAAACCAGTATGTTTCTGTATCACTAAAAATGCTGGACAATGATTTAACTTTTACACTTCAAACCTATTTGCTGATTCTGGACTCACTGACTCTGCAATCACATTCAAAGCTTGTAAACTCCTATCTTCATACATTCCCAAAGAATTCAAAAAAGAGGCACTGAAAGAGCACAAGGATCTGTCAGAGGATCAGACTGTAAGACAAAACCTAATTTTTGTGACTATTTAAAGGATTCACAAAGATAATGCATACTCAGTATAGGAGTAGTGTAGCCTGCTTCCGTTGAATTTCTATCATTTTATAGTAAAAATCCAAACTGCTGAGCTGAACTTCATTGGCTAGCTATTCCACAGGGGTCATGGTCATGCAGGCTGCTCGTTTTGTGTGTCTTTCAATCAGATACGACTGGAAAACAATTATGTCCTAGATATTCAGAAGGTCAGACTTCAAAATCAAAATGGTCCCTGCTAGCATTTATTTATGAACATATGAAAATTTTGGCAACATCAAGAACGTTATCAAAACTAAACTGTCTAAAAAAAAAATATGAATCACAGTAATTAAACAAGAAGCCATCAATGTAAAATGTCTTACCAATGTAACATGTTTGTAAACTTCTTCTGCATTTTCTAATGCAGGTGCTAGCATTAAAATACTGAATTGGAAGCCATGGTTGGAAATGTTATTTATGCTTAGTAAGTCTGTAAACATGGAATGTTTTGTTTTGAAACACTCTAGTGAAATGCATGGTGTAAGAAGGCAGGGTTTTTTTAATTTCCTCACAGAAGCGAGGATACAACGCAGGTTTCAAATCAGGTTCATTCTCTCCCAAACCATCCATGATCTGTAATGAAATTGAACAGGTCTGTGAAATATCTTTAGCCAATTCACAGTTACAGGCAATAAAAAGAAGCTAAAAACAACCTTGACAATACACTCAGAGGGCCAGGCTGGCCAGATTTGTTAAAAGTGACTGTATGGAACAAGTGGGAGGAATCTAACATTAAAATTTTATAGATTTATAGTATTGTCTTTATTATGGATAAAGCTGATTTGTCAGGGATACACATCTGCTTTGGGTTACATGGTCTGCTGTGGTTCCACGTTAGCCCCAGAAATGCTGGAAAACTCCCCTAAAACAATGGAATAATACAACTCTCCACCGGTTCTAAGGGAATTGAAGTTATGAAGTGACTTACACTCTGAAAGGGAATGCTTTTTGTGTACTGCTAACCTGAAGCTCATCAGGAAGCGACCAGTTATTTTGCCCAAGCTGATTTCCTCCTTTTTTTATTATCAAATACCATTAAAACAAGCAGTGTTCAACGTGGCGATTTTTAGAATGTCTAAAGGCTCCATTAGATTTTCCTTCCCACGCTCATGATGAAGTGGAAATTACCCAAGCTCCTTCAAATCGTTAACTGTATTTCAAAAAGAAGTTGAGCAGAATGTATCTTCTTTATAAATCTTGTACCGGATACTTACATGGCCGTTAGCTACATCGAGTAAATCACGTAACCGACAGCCTCTACTGTGTCTTCTCTCATAACAAATACTGTCTTCTAGGATCACATAGTCTGTGCCAAAGGATCGCAGTATTCTGTGAACGTCTTCAGGAGATCTCTTGGCATAGATTTGATAAATCTATAGAAGAAGAAAACCAAGCTGTAAACCACATTACCACTATTTCTTCGTTAGCTCTTTCGTGATTTCTTCATCTTGAACCAGAGAAAGAATTGAGATCAATAATCCATGTGACACGAATTAACTATTTTAAAAAGATATATATAAATGCTTTATTTGGTAGCCACTTAGAGTTTCTGTGTTACGGCTACTATTATGCACAGTATTACTGCTGCTGACTACAAAATCACTGGATGGTGCTGCGGTCTGCAGAAAGGCCTTGGCAGATGCCTGTAAAACTTTCACAATGTGTAAATTATAGGAAAGGATAGTTTTAAACAATCTCTCCAGCTTTGTGTGGAGTTTCGCAAGGTGGTTTCTACCCAAAATGTTACGTGCTAGTCTGGGAACTGAAGGGAGCGTCAGGCAAATCAGGAAGTGCTCCATGTGGGTTTAACAGCCCAAATGGGCAGCAGGATCTATTAATGCCAACAGCACTCAAACCAATTCACTCAGAACGAGCTTGAGTACCCAGGTACAGCTACTCAGACACACGCCAGCTGCCAGAAGTGAGTTAGCAGATGCTCCAAGTACTACAAGTCTCACAGAAGAAGTTAAATTCTGGAACCGTATCTCAAAATAAGCTAGTTTAATGTAAAGCACGTGATGTCATTTGCAATGTGCCATTAGAAATTGCAGGTGTTTTCTGGAATGCAGCTACTGATATGGATAAGAATTAGCTTAAGCAATCAGAATACTCTTACCTGTTTTGTTCTCTCTCTCAGATTCTTATCCTCATAATGGGGATGATTAGTTAAGGTCCGTCCAGTGCACAGTTTGACTCCTGCTAATAGCTGCATGCTCCCAGCAAACACTGCTGTGTTTGGAGTGTTTGACCTAAACAAATGTTGATAAGTCTGAGGAAGTCTCTGTAGGGGCATTTTTGCATTGCTTGTTTCAGATCAGAAGGAAAAAAAAGACTGGAAAAATATTTTTCTGCCTCTCCTCTGTTCAGGGAGCAAACTGTTCAAGCAAATGGGTTTTATTCAAATATGAAGTGGATAAATCATGGTAATACTCTCTAACTGCAAATAAAAAATGTACTGTGCTGCGTGGTGTTGAGTTGCTGGCTGGGTTAAACCACAACACACTTTAAGAAATTCAGGGAAAACATGCTCCTGAAAATTTCAAACTACTTCCATGTTTCATATATTTCTTGGGTTCATATAGCCTCTGAATATTTGTAAATTTCTGTATCCTGTTTTTTTCAATATTTCAAGAAACTCACTGTGACTTAGATTTGTGTCTGATATATAAGGTATTCTATACAAAATGTATTATTTAATCTGAATGCTAAAACTTCTTGTTACTGTCCTGGCATTCACTGTTCACTCGGAATGAAAACTTTGTGAGGCACTAATCCTCCTATTACAACGACTATACGAGAGAACAGGGGGGGAATGGAGAAGATGCCAGATAGAAATGCTGCCAATTATTGGTACTGTGATCTCATCTGATGTTCAAAGTCAATGTCTAGATTTGCTACCTAAATAACAGTCTTGGTATCTTAGGACTGTTTAAGTAGCATAATGAAAAAATGATTTTTTGCTCATCTTCCTCTCAACAAGTTTACAATCCAAAATATATGTAAAGACCCAACAGAAGGGCATAGCAAGAGATAAAGTAAAAATGCCTGGCAACAGAGACTACTATAACGAGGTTAATTAAAAATGGTCACAGTATGCTTAAGTGTTTTCTAGTGCTCAGTAGGCATATAACCATGAAAAGTTCTATGGATACTGAAACAACAGAAGAAAGAATCATAGATTAAATCAAGTGAAATGAAATCAGAGAGGAATGTAAATAGTTGCCTAACATCCACGTACATGCACATATGGCACCTACAGTAGTCAAAGAACTTTGGGGTGCACTTTAGGGAGCCTTTTGAAACTGCAGCTATATATTGAGTCGTCTTTAAGCTCTGTGATCCACTTGAAAATGTTAGGAGACAAGTATTAAATTTTACTATCACCTTTCAAGGGATTATGCTTAGCAAATGGATTAATAATTACAAACCCTTCCTAAAAATTCTCGCACTGGTACATTAATCTCATCTAGGAAGGACAGAGATAGTATTTTTAATAGGCCAGTTTAACTTTACTGATAGACTAGTTTTTCAGCAGTTTATAAAACCAGTTTCATTTTAAAGTCTGAAAATATTTAATCTCTTTTAAAATTTTCTTTTTTCTCACTTTATGGCACTTATGGCTTTGAGTATTTTAAGTAAATGTTTCATCAAAAGAAATGAATTTGTCCTAGAACTTAGTATTATGCCCTGACAGGCTGTCAGCTAGGACTCATCCCTGAAACTGAATGAAAGTGCAATTCTTTAGACTAAACTGAAAAGAACGTGGACTAGATTCACAGAGGGACTTGGTAGAGCTTAGACACCGAAATGAAAATGATTCTCACAGCTCCTTCAAGTTTCTGCGTTTATGCCTGGGCCAGGAAACTTCTACTGTGAAAAGTCTGTTTCTATGTTTAATGAAGATCAGTTTAAATTTTATACCACTCTGCAGTACATATCTCCTGACTTGGCCTTATCAAGGCAATCCTGCACCTCTGATTCCTGAGGAGCCCAATATAATGCAAACTTGCAGAATCAAACTTTATTTAAAAAAAACCCACAACAAGTACCAAAGGCAAAAGCACAAGGAAAAAAAAAATCAAACACAAAAAAAGCATTTCCAAGAAACAGCCTGCAGCCTCTTTTCTTACAAAAGAAAGCTAGAGAAAAGGGTAACAGTGCCCTTTTCCCATAACTTGCTGGTAAAAATGCTTGTCAAAACACAGAAGATGGCAGGGTTCAATTCCTTCCCTTTCTAAAAGCATTCACTCTTGCCCAGGAGAGGTGAAATATAGCTGAGTGCCTTCTTCATTTATCAGGTATTAAGAGTTTTGCCAGCACTTCCTCCTTTTCCTATACCTTAAAAGCAACCTAGTGACCCTTGCTTGCTTTTCAAAAAATGGTTTATGTGCCTCAGTCCTGGATGGAGTTCAAAATCTGGTATCCCAGGTGAAGGCAGATGTTTCCCTGAGACTCAGATTTGCATGTTTGAAGTTCTAGAAAATGATATACCTTAAGACATATCACTGTCCATATTTTACTGGGGCCAGCTCAGAGGGTTCCCAGACCAGCATGTGCTACTTACTACCAGAGCTCCTGGAGGCACTCTTTTCCAGTACCTTAAAAAACTCCAGCTGGTGGCTGTTACTCAGCACTTACTTTCTGAACCACCCACCAGAGAGAGGTGTGACAATTAACCAGTATTTTTCAGGTACAGGGTGATTTCTACGTTTTGTGTGTCTTTCTCTAATACTCCTACCTGAGTTAGATGCTGACTGCTGTGGTCTGTATCCACGGCAGTTAATGTGCTCCAAACCACTGAGTGACACTTCTCTATTACAGAAAAACGAAGCAATTTTTACAAATGTCTGAACAAACGATGTATAAAATGAAAGGATAATTTGTTTTTATAGCTTTCTGCCAAGCTCCATACCACACTGCCCAACCTGCAAACAATTTATTCTGTACGAAATGTCACTAAATAATGACAAGGACTTACAGGTCAAACTGATTTACATTATATAATTTAAATGTCATTCCAAGCAGGCCTGATGGCATTTTGAACAAATAATCTCATTTATTTTTGAAACTCTAAGCTCTAAGCTTTCAACAAGTTAATTACAGCTGAACTAATGGGTAAACTAAGCACTATAATACATTGTATGAAGCTTTTCTTTACCTACACTTAAGAATTTAGAGAATGATGTAAATACTAAAGAATGACTCATTAAAAATAAAAGGGTTTTACAGAAACTACAGGTCTATGCCTATCTTGCACAGACTCTAAAAGTGGTAGTAATTCTTTCTCTTATTAAGCTGCTACAGAATTATTGTGAGTTGGTTTTAAGTAAGTCCTACAGAAATGGCCAACATTGCAATGACAGGTTACATCATTAGAAATAAAACGGCTATTTCTACTGAAAGTCCTCCAGAGTTGAACTCTGTAGTTGGTTTTCAAAGCCATAATATATGAAAAATCTCAGACTACTCCTTTACTAGTGCCTGGGTGTGATATGAATCTACAAAGCAAAGGGATTTGAGAAAAGGAGATTCTGAAAAGGGTTCTCAAGTATATCATGTTAGGCGCTTTTTTTTTTTAATGAAGTCTTTTTATTTGCAGAATGCTGTATTAAAATACTACAGGTTTAGCTGCAAATGATAGGCAGTAAAGCATATTCAGTCAAACTGTCATGGTTCTTTTTTTTCCCTCTGGTTTGGAAAGACTGAAAATTGCAAAAATAGAAAACGACAGCCACAAAGAGCAACAAGATGCATTTTTTGTTAGTTCCAGCCTCTATTTTATGCATGCATATTTTGCTCACAAAAAGGAGTGCACCTACACAGTTGGTATAAACCTAGTTCTCAGGCACTATCAAGTTCATGCCTGAATTTTACTGACAAATCAGTCAATGGATAAGCCCAAGAATTAAAGAACAAGAATTTTAAAAAAAAAAAGTGTGATATTGCCTTTAAAGTCTGGAATATTTGTTGATTTCAGTGTGATCACCCTTGAAAATCAGGCATGTAAAAAAGGGTGAAGAGTTAAAACTTACAGCTGGCTTGAAATTGAAATACAGCCATTAACACAAATTACTAAATTACAGATGAAACACGGGTATTTCATTTTTGTACCCTTAGGAGCTTTTTGGAAATTTGTGGGGTTTCCACTAATATAAAAATTTGCCTGCTTAGTCCCCACGCCTGATTCAAATACAGGTGACATACAACTATGCTCTGCCAAATCCCAGCCTCAGTTAACTTAACTTTTCCACTGTTTTGGCTATTGTCTGAGATTTCTAACAAGTTTTTCTGTGATTTTTGGTATCTGCTTATATTCCACAATTCTAGACAGGTTTCCCCTTTAAAGGCAGAAGACATTGCTTCTTAAACACTTACCAGAAGTAAACAGAGTAGGGAAGTTCACGCTATTGATTTGCTCATTCTACTGATATTCTTCCCCATCTCACAAATGAGCATGTTGTTCCTGTTGTCTTAGGGAGAAAGACCAAAACTAAGAATTTTGATATATCTCCCATCTGGGAGCACAGCTGTGAACTATCCCTGGATCACTGGCAGGACTTTCTTGACTTTTTTTTTTTTTAAAAAAAAAAAGCTAAGAAAATGAGATGGTGGGTAGGAAAAAGCAAGAGATTGGGATATGCAAGATCATTATGTAAAAAATTGCACTCTGCAATAGACGCAGTCCAATACTATGCAGTAACTTTATTGTAAAGATATAAACCAGTATATCTTCCTGAAAACGCCATGGTGATTTTAGTAAGGAGAAGAGTGAAAAATACATCTGCAGACACTTCACAGTGGACAGACTAATAGTTGGCTATTATTCAGATCGTATATTTGGATGACTTAATATGCATTTAGATCTAAGCAGACAGAAGGGTTTTCTTGTTGTGGAGAGATTGCTAGACAGATGAGTTATTCCTAACTTAGTGCTGTACATGACAAATTAGAGCTTCTCATACTGAGTTTTAATAATGAATGATTATTTCCTGACACCAGCTTTGACAGATCTTAAACTACAGCGTTAGTAGAGTAACCATTTTTCTTACACATCAAAACTTAGGGAAATCTGACCCACTTCGAGAAAGTTACCATAAATTTTGTCGACTTGTATTTAAAGCAGAGATAATTAACTCTTCTTTACATAAATAATATTTCTAAACACAATAAATTCTAAGTAGAATATTTCCCTCTGTAATTGTCTGTCATGATTTAAAATGAAAAGAGGACAAGTACCAGTTTAGCATTCTCAGCACTAAGAACATATGAAAAATTATTCTAATCGGATCTAGTCAAATCCAGTTCATGGCTGGGAATAACTCTACATGCATATTTTATGTATAAATCTATATATAACTCCATATATTGTACACAGGAGACCTGAACTATCCGATATTTACCATCTTTTAATAAAACAGTAGAGCTAAATGGAACTGGCTGGTAAACATTAGTCACAAAAACATGTCAATATGGCTGCAAAGATTTTAAATGATGGAAAAAAACATGACCTGCTTTCGAAATAAGTCAGTGAAGGCTTGTAATATATTTTACTTCTAAATTACTCCTTCCAGTTTATAGATTAAAGAAATACAACACTATAGAGTGTAAATATGTCGCTATGGGTAGAATCGGCTGGGTGACTGGTTTCACTGAAGTTCATTGCATATGAGAATACAATACAGGGCTCCAAGGAAACACTTCAAATAGTTGAATGCTAAATGTAGTAAATTCAGATTTACTTTCAGAATGTTTTTTTCCAGAACATGAAACTGATTTCTTTATAAAATAATAAAAATATCTTTGTTAGAGTCCCAAATAAATACAAGTCCCAGGAATATCTCTGTTCAGAACTTGACCTGAAAGTTTTTAGTGGTTACTGTATGTCAATAGAGAATATAGCCCTTAAATTCAGAGTCCTCCAGAGAACATCCTACCTGGCCCTTTTTCTCAGGATCTTCTACATGCAGTATTCCAAACCGTTACCACCTAAAAAATACCTTCCTATGCTCTGTGCAAAAGCAGAAACGATGAGGTGGGATTGAAATGATTAACTCATACTCCTGACAGAGACTTTGCACCTATGCTTAGCCATGGCAAGTTAAATTACAAATGTTTTGTTTACAGTTTAGAACACATATTGGGATTAATTCTAGTAAGTATAAACAATTTACATTATTTTAAAGTTCAAGAAACAGACTGTAGAGTACCGATGTACAAATGTACATCCAAGCTTTTTAAAATTCTAAAGTTAAAAAGAGAAGGACACCAGGTTAGGGGGGGAAAATAAAAATGAAATTATTTTACTGCAAAGATCTATTAAGGTAAAGAGGTAGTTATAAGATGATGGAAGAAGCTTGACACCTCCAAATTGGCCTCCTTTGGCTGAGAAAACTGTGTGCTTATGGGAGCAAATGGAGTCAAATGTTCCCTGACACACAATACAGCAGCTTGATACTGAACCAGAGCAGAGCAATCTGGGAGACTTTGCATATGGCTGTTCTCCATAGCTGTTAATATGCTAACCTCTTGATAGCCCATTCATCCTTAACTATCTCCATAGGTCACCAGAGTTCACTGATGAGCTGTGACAAATAAGGAGAACACCATAACTAAGAACATTAGATCTACACAAATAGCATTTAACTTAAATAGAGAAAAAATCCTCTTACTTAATCCAGTTCATCAGCTCCACAGTGTCTGGGTCATAGAATTCTCTCAGCTCTGACAGTTCATCCATTATTCCTGGCCAGAACTATAATGAAAACAAAATAAAACAAACTGAAGACAGAATGAACAAGTTCTGGATGTTGAAACATACTATTTCCTCTTAGCTAGTAAGTGATCTTGTCCAGCTCATGGATGAGTTGCAAGACACAAGCATATCTGCCCTTCTTTTGAAGGATAGGTGGCTGTTGTTGCAGTAAGAAGTTTCAGAGTTTGAGATCTGCAGCTCCTGCCAGATGACCAGAATTACCCGTTGTGGTGAGCCTGAGAACAGCTTTTCTCAGATTCACATCTCACTGGACGTTTCCAGAAGTCTATTAGTTAAGATCAGTTTGTATCTTAGAAGCGATGGGCAACTAAAGTTGCCACCCAATGTGACTGTAATGCATTATATCTACTTTACAAGTGAACTATTTCAGTTACCTGGACTATAGGATGAATGTTTTAAGTTCTTTCTTGATAGATCAAGCTTTAAGAAAAGTAACAAGACAACGGCATCATGTAACAGTTCAATACCTAACAACCAAGCCATTACATAATGCCTATGATTACAGGAGAAGGAAAGGTCTCAGGAATTAAGTTTGAAAAGGCAATTAACAACTAAATAAAAAAAAAAGCTAAGAAATCTGTACCAGAAGTTAAAATCATTAGATGTGCTATGGATGCCATTAATAGCATTTCAGAAGTTTGAATTCAAAGAGAATCACTGAAGGAAAAAGGTGAAGTGTGACTGAATGGCAACATTCACTAGACCATTAGGGGAAAGCATTTCAAAATGTACTGAAGACAAAGAATATATAAATCAAATCTGGACGAGAGAAATAAAAATTGAAACTGATTCTGCAAAGCTTAACCCTCCCCGAAAAAAGCTAACAGAACTAAGATTTATTTAAGGGTTTCTTGTCGTTTAAGCTAGAGAATGTTCAAGGACAAAAGGGAACAATTAAGATAACAACAATGCTAATGACTGATTGCTTTGCATCAGCCTTTATGACAGAGGATGTTGTTGTTCCAAACCTTCTTTCTTTAGATAATAAGGATTGCTGGCTTGCAGAGTGAAATGTCACAGGAAAAAGTAGAAGAAAACCCGCCTGATAATCTAAAAAGTCGTAAACCATCCAATTTAGACAATATTCATCCAAGAGTTCAG